TGTGGCTCTCTGCCTCTGTCCATGAAGGTGTATATTGTCGTGCAGGCCCGTCTGACTCTAAGTGCCTGTGTCTTCGTGTTGAGACCATGACACTGTGTAGGTTTTCCGTCTGTGCTGTGCTTCATTGTCTTCTCTTTCTGGGAAGCAGTCAATTAGTGAGCAGTGGGGGAAGAAACCATACCCACTCCCAGCTGGCATGTGATTTTTGTCTAGACAAGTCCGCCTGCTGTGACAGGACCCACCCTCAACAGCCCGGGGTAAAAGTGCTTGGCTGTCACAGCCTGTCACCCGAGGCTCTGCAATGACTGGCCCAACATTCTAGGGTAACACAGGCACCAAAGTCAGTCACTACAAAGTCAGCTGCGCTGTAGAAATTCTGTGCAAAAAGGTCACGGAGCCACAGGGCCTCCAAGTTCAATCACAGATGAGGAAAGTAGGCTCAGAGCGGGCGTGTGTGGCCTGAAGCACAACCTGAGTCATCATTCACCACTTACCCAAAGCTCCTCCAGCGCCTACTGCCAACCAGCCTCTGAACTAGGCGCTCAGAATGAACACCCAGGAGGTTAACCCCTGAATTCTGCTGTAAGGCACCCCGCAATCTAGTTGGGCAGACAGACATGAGCGGGCATTCTACAGGACAGACCTGAAAAGCCACGGCAGGAAGAAAGAACAAAGGGCCGTGGAAGGAAGTGAGACAGCGCTGTCTTTGGGGACTGGAGAGGGTGTGGAAGCTGAACAATGTCCCCCCAAACATGCCCACATCCTATTCCTCAGAACTGGTTAATGATGTTACCAAACATGACAAGATGGACTTCGAAGACAAGATTAAGTTGAGGATCTTGAGAAGGAGAGATTGTCCTGAGTTATCAAGGAGGACCCAAGGTAACCAAAGGATCCTTATGAGCAGGAGGCAGGTGTTCAGGCGTGACAATGGAAGGGAGGCCAGAGTGAACGAGACAGATTTGAAGTTCTATGTGCTGGTTTTGAAGGTGAAGGAAGCAGCCACAGGCCCAGGAATGCAGGCAGCTCCAGAAAGCTAGAAAAAGCAAGGGAATGGATTTTCCCTAGAGCCTTAGGTGGAACACAGCCCTGCCAACACCTGGATTTTAGCCCAGTGAGACCCATTTTCCACTTCGGACTTCATAACTGTTAAGGAAAATTGGGGTCGTTTTAAGCCACTAGGTTTGTGGTGATTTGTTACAGCAGAGGCAACTAATACTGAGGTTTCATCAGAGATGAGGTGAAACTGGAACTGCGCCCCATTGAAGGGGGATAGGTATCTAAGGTAAGCACGCAGGGTGTTGGAAAACATGGAGAAGTCTGGCGGCGGGTGGGGAGCTGTCCAGAGATGAGGCCCTTAGAAGCCAGGGTCTTGGAGCACTGGCTTTGTGTCAGGCTGCGGGGGCTCAACTCCAGCTGCGCTACCCTCTCTCCGAGAGACTGAGCTCTCAACAAACGTCAGCAAATGTTACACCTCAGTTAACAGCAAGTCCGCAGAGGCGTGGCTCAGGAGGTTACCTGGCAGAGTGGGAAATGGATTCTGGGTGTCTTGGCACCCCATGCAGTGGCTTTCGTACCAGATCGTGCTGTCTCTTTCCCAGGCCTCCTAATCTCAGCTGATGTCTCTGCCATACGTTCATGAGTAAGGGGAGAACCCGGCTTTTGCCAGGATTCCCTGGGACAGCCAGCCCCGATTCTTGGGAGAACATTCTGCTACATGGCACAGGCAAAGCAGAGGCCATGGACTCCTGCCCGGAATGTGAGAGCTACTTGCACAACTTGGGGAAAAACCCACAAGGCAGACACCCTTCATTCTCCCCACAATTCCCTCTCCTGGGCACCTGGTGTCCGCATCAGATGGCCTCTTGGCTCCTCACACCTCCTCAGGGACCAGCCCATCTCTGGCTCAATCCAGGGTCCTGTGCTTTACTTTTGTCTTCCTCACAGTCAAACCCTAGACAACAGAATCCTGAGATTGTGCAATCAGAAAAAAAAAAAAAAAATACACTGCCTTCTTTTCTCCCAGCTGAGTAGTCACAAACTTTCATGCTGAGTAGCCACAGCTTCCTGGCCCTTCCTTGCCCTGGCCTCCCAGATGGCTTCAGTGAAATGAATCGGCCAGTGCTGTGACTCTAAGCCAAGGGTCCTCCTGTGCACCAGGCTGAGTGTTAGGTATTTGAAGAAAAGTGATAAGATCGAGTCCCTGGCTTTGCATGTTCACAGCTGAGTGGGCAAAGACAGGGAAAGATATTCATCACCCCTTTCCAAACCATCTTTACATTGCAAAACAGGCTTTCAAAAGCAAAGCAATAACTGGATCAGCCCAAAGCATTGGGAAGGACCCCGTGCACACTTAAATGATACTCTCTGAGCAGGTATCTATGACAGGTCAACTCCAACTGGGCCTTCAACTTCAGCGGCCTCCCCTCCTTTCAGGGTGCAGAGGGCATAGCTTTAAGTTGGCTAGAATCTTGGGGGCAGCTGTCTACTACCTCATTGACCTTGACTTGAGTTATCTCTCTGAGCCTGAGTCACTCCATTGGTAAAATGGCCAGAGGAAAATGGCATTAAGTGGCCAGTAAGAGACAATGGGAAAAGCATCTAGCACAGAGCCAGGACCAAATTCCTATCCCTTGCTATAGTCCGTGATAGCCAAGTAGGATAAAAGTCAGACCCCTCATTTCACTCCTTGAAAACAAGCCTTGGTCCTCCCAAACACTCTGCCTAATTGCTCATGGCCAGTGTACTAGGGTATGGAAGAAAGGAAGGCTAGGAAGGATCCCCCCCCACCTTTTAATTTTTTTAATTGGGGGTGCAGGAGACTCCAATTAGGGCAGTGGCGCCAAGGAGGAAACACAACAGCAGGCCCCCTCGAGCTGTCCTCCTGCTGAGAGCAATGCTCAGAAGGGCACAGTCAGCAAAGGGTTACTCCTTGGTGCAAACACCCATCCCCCACTGTCACTTCACATTAAAGGACCAGGCACCAGAGAACAAGCTGGCCAGTGACAGCTGCTCTCATTAACGGTTTGCTCCCTCAATTTCTTTCCCTTCTGGCCTTTACTTGAAAAAAGAAAAGAAAAAGCAAGCAATGAAGAAAGCCATCAAAACAGCCCATCCTGGCTGGACCCGGTGGCTCACGCCTGTAATCCCAGCTCTCTGGGAGGCTGAGGTGGGTGGATCGTTTGAGCTCAGGAGTTCGAAACCAACCTGAGCAAGAGCAAGACCCAATCTCTACTATAAATAGAAAGAAATTAATTGGCCAACTAATATATATATAAAAAATTAGCTGGGCATTGAGTAGTATGCCTGTAGTCTCAGCTATTCGGGAGGCTGAGGCAGGAGGATCGCTTGAGCCCAGGAGTTTGAGGTTGCTGTGAGCTAGGCTGACGCCACGGCACTCACTCTAGCCTGGGCAACAAAGTGAGACTCTGTCTCAAAAAAAACAAAAAAACTCCAGCCCGTCCTTAGGCTAGGATTCCCGTGTCACAGGCCCGCACACAGTTCAGATGCTACTTTCTTCGTGCTGCCCACTCTGAGGGCTGCAGCTCCTTCTCCCTCTTCTCGGCCACTGCACACTGAGCCCGGCCCTCGCCACCAGCTGAAGCCCCCCCACGTCTCTGTTACAGCCCCCCATTGTACTGCCACTCCTGTGCTGGGCCCGGCTGTGCAAACTGCTGGAATGGGATTTCCTTAGGAGCGAGGGCTGGGCCTCGGTCATCCCTATGCCTTCCAGACAATGTTCCCTATAGCGCTCTCAAGAAAGGGTGGGTCAGTTCATGGATTCTAGCTTTTCGCTTATTAAGCACACATTTACTTATTCTGAGCTAGGATCCCAGAGTGGCCTTGGTAAGACAGGAAGAATGACATCTATCTATGTTACATACGGTCCCTGCCCCGTGGAACTTACAGCCTAAAGGGAGACACGTCAGTAACTTCACTCCAGCGTGGTGACCGAGGTCACACAGGAGAGGGGCAGAGGCTGTGGTAGGGAGGCACAGGCCTGCAGCCAGGCTTAGAAACCAGGAAAGGATAAGAAGCTGGTTTAGATCTCTCTATTCGTAATTCTTACTGTGAATGAGCAAGGATAATAGGAACGACAGTATGATCTACATGTGTGGCGCTTAAACTTCCAGCCATTCTTGTGTGGTGCGATTCCTGCCGGACTGGCGTGAGCTGCCCTGGGTAGGGTAGGGCCCAGGAAGGCACAATGGATCAAAGTAGATGCTCGGTCATGTTTGCTGATTAAGCCCCTTCAAACTTTTAGCAGGCAGGAAAAGCAGAGCTTACCGATGGAGATGCAGACAGGGAGAATGCCTTATCCCACCTTTACTGGGAGTTAGGGATGAAATACATGAAAAGGTAACCCATCCATTTGGGACAAATCAGCATGTGGCCCATCCCAAGTTCAGTCTCTAGGGAACCCTGTGACTTGATATGCAAGGACATCAGCTGGGGAGATGGCTTAAGGTTCAGCCAGCCTCTTCTCCTCCAGCCAACACTTAGTCTAGAGTCTGATCAAGTTACCCCAAGGGTCACAGAGGGAAGGGCAGACATTGCCCAAGAAGCTGAGAAATTCTGTTGTCTACTAAGTGTCCACCAAAGTAGCATGTGAGCACCATGAGTCAGGAGACTTAGATCTGCTACTACATTGACATGTGACCTTGGGCAAGTTTCTTCCCCAAATTTCCTCATCTACAATGTGAGCAAGTTGGAGAATATCTAAGTTCTCTTCCAACTGCAATATTCTGTGAGCCCAAACCTTCAGTGTTGACAGAGAAGAGGATGTACAGAACCTACAGGATCAAAACTCACAGACTGCAAAGAAGCAGGAATTATTCTCATTTTACTGTAAGGATCTAGGGCAGGGTGGCTTTTCTGATATCAAGCAGAGAACAGGAACCAGGGTTCCCTGGCTTTGGTCACTGAGCTAGAAATATTTAACAAGCAACAAGCAAGAGCCCAGGGCTCTGCTTGCATACTGAAGACAAGAGGTTACTTACTATGCAGCAGGCCACCAGGGCTCCTTGGGCAAATCCTGCCAGTACATCGCTGGGATGGTGCTTGTGGTCTGACACGCGGGACAGTCCCGTGTAGAAGGCCATCATGATCAAGGTGAATTGCAGGAGGGGCCGCAACAGGCGGGCACCTCGCCAGGTAAAGCGGGCTTGCAGGTATAGCTGGAGGGAAGAGACAAGAAGAACAAACACTAAGTGACTTCCCATTCACGTGCACTAAGACCCCAGGTGGACACATGCTATATTTCTGCTAAATGGAATTATCCACACCAAGGGCAGCATTTAATTTTATATGACCTTAAGCCAGTTATTTAAATGCAACTTTGTCAGCCTAAAAAATAAGAAAAAATAGTTTATCTAGGGAGATACACTAGGGAGAGCCAACCAAGATAATACATGCAAATGGCCTTAGCACACTGCTCAGCACATAGTAGGCACTTAATAGATATTAGTTTCCTTTTATCTTCTTGATTGAAACTAATTACAGAATAATAACCAGGATTAGTAAAGGTTTCTTTTTTTTACAATTGATGACAACTTATTTAACAACATTGGGGTGTTTCGCTGGGGATTACGGTTGTACAATCCCTATACTACCTGCATCTGAGCATTGCCACAAAAATGAAATACCCAACAATAAAGAAAAATTATTGTGAGATTCACAGAGAGATGCTTCTGCTTCACAAGAAGGACAAGTTTCTGAGTTACCGCTTGCAACTGTGGATTTTGAATTCCAATATAAGGAAACACATAAACCAACCAGACAATGCCAGAGAACTTTCAAGCAGAGGTTGATGGACAGTGGACTGGGTGGGGTCAAAGAGTAACCTGAAGAAAAATGGAAACAAAAAACAAAAAACACCTCTGGCTGAAGCAAAGAAGTTGAAATGACGTCAGCTGGGCATTGTCCCCTCGGAGTTATCTGGCTGCAGTTTCCGTTCTAACCTCTGGGCACAAGCTACTTCCCAGGTTCCTGTGGGAACTTGGGAAGTGAGGAGGAAGAGGCGAGGAGACAGGAGGAACTTCCCACTACAAATCAAAGCTCCAAGCGGCCAGGAGAAAGGGAGGACAGAGGAGGGGAGGGGACCGATGGCCTAAAGATAGACCCCGTGTGCAGGCAAAGGCGTGACTCTGCCCTTCCTGAGACAAAGGGACACTTTTTTGGGGGTGAGGAAAGAAAGAGCAAGCAGCGGCCAGTCTCAAGGAGACAGAAGAGTGGACGATCCTGGAGTCACTCTTGGCCGTCGTACAGCGCCCAGGACTGACTCCTCAACTACTCGGAGAACTATTTCAAAAAGGCTAGGCATGGAAAACATCAGCGACTTTATAATCATTTTAAACTTATATAAATGCATTTATTAGAAAATCTAAGAATAACAAAAACCTGGTAAGAGAGACCACATTGATGTTGTTGACGGTTGAACAAGTGGTAAAAATATTAATGGTTTTCTCATCTATAAATAATAGTTAAAAATCTAAAACAAGAGAGAAAGTCATAATAATAATAGCAAATATGATTAAATAAATAATAATTAACTGAGCAAGAAGTGCATGGGGGCCTTTACCAAGTGAGAGACACAAAGGACAATTTGGATAGAAGGCAAGCTAGAATTTTTATTTATAAGAACACTCCACTTTTAGATTCAGAAGTTGATATGTAAATTCAGTTGGATTCCCATGGACATCCTAAAAAGGGTCAATTTCTAAGGGGAAGGGATGCTTGACTTGAACCCTAAAGATGAATAGGTGTTTGCTGGAGTGAAGGGGACAGGAGTGAGGGGTATATATTCCAGACAGAGGGATGACTTTGGGGCTGGCCACCAAAGTTCCCATGAACTTCAAACAGTCCAAGGTAAGTGGAGAAGAGGGTGTATGGGGGGAGGGGTGATGAGAAATGGGGTTATAGAGTCCAGCAAGGGCCCAGTTCACAAAGGACCGTGGGTGTCAAAGGAACTTGGCCTCTGTTCAGTAGGCCAGTCTTTGCCAAACCAGATTCCAAGGAATATTGCATGGAATATTAGGTGTGATTAAACAAGATTTGTGAATGCTCTATACTAAATCCTTATTTTTGTCACTCATAATGCTTGTAAGATTACCAAAGGCTCTAAGAAGTCCTGCAGGAAAAAAGACTTACTTGACTTTTAATCACTATTTTCACAGAACATCTACCTATTGAATCACAATTGGAAAATGTTACTGCAAGCAATGGTGAAAATTAAATGGTTTGAAGCAAGGCACTGAGTATCATAAAAAACTAACCTGGGTGTTTTTTAAGGGCTGTAGGCAAGGTTGGGTCACAATAGGCAACACCAAAGTCATTGAATCCAAAGCTACAGCTGAAGGCTACTCCCTCATTTCAGCTGAAATGAGCCACCAGTGGACTCTGCAAGCATGCATCAAAAGGTCCCTTCCATGTGGGAGTGGGGATGGAGATGATGGTGGGGATGGAGATGATGTTGGTCTAGCTCCAACTCAACACAAGTCTATGGGACAATGGCAAATTCAAGGACGTGGAATTATCCATCTGCAGTGTGCCCACTAGGGTCTGGCCTTCCTCCAGCTATTCTTGGCAGTGGACAGGGGTGGGGTGGGTAACAGAAACAGCACAGGTTTTAATCAGAAAAACCTCACTGTGCCTCAGTTTCTCACATATGAAATAAATGTAACAACTACTATCTTCCAGACTGGGTGTGGGATGGCTTGGTTGATAAACATAGATGAAGAGGATGGCATGACATTCTACTCAATAAATAGGTGATTTTATTTTTTAACCACTTTTCATAATTTGGACCTTGTAGCCTCAAGATTTGTCTTATTTCCCCTGCTGGAAAATCTGCAGCTTCTTAGAAAATGCTTGTTACAAATCCTCCAACCCTTGCCCTGCCCCCCGTATGCAGACTTGAGGTCATAGGCCTTGGAAATCAGGGTGGGGCAGAGGAAGGGTGGGCTTCCCAACCGGACAAGGTCCACATCTCCCCTTCACTGACTCAGATACTTAAGGCTGCAGCTTAATAAAAGAAAAAAATAAATACAGGAGAGGAACTCAGGAGAGAGGAAGAGAGCAGTCATCAGAATAACTCCAGGAAGGGAGTGCTTATGAATGAGAAAGGAGCAGGCGGCCCTGGGAAAAGAAGTCCTTTGGGAAGCAGTCAGACTTGGAATTGCAGTGGGCAGATGGGAGCTTGCTCCCAGATACCCATCAGTAACTAACACATTTGAGGAGGAACACCTCCAGGTCAGGATTGGTGTCTACAGGTAGGGATTTAGGGGATAGCAGTACAATAAGAAAGTGCATTTTGGGGTGAGACAGCCCCGATTCCAGTCCTGGCTCTGCCACTCAGTAGTTGTGTGGTCACTTAACATCTCTAAGCCTCAGTCTCCTTATCTGTGAAATAGACAGAATAGTATCTCCTTCTCAGGGTTGCCAGGACCAAAGGAGGTAACACCGGAAGACCCTGTCTGCCACAGGATGAGCACTCAAGACACTCTTGAGAAATCTAGGTTACCCTTTTGCCTAGGTAAATGAGATTTGCTCAATGACCATGGTGATATCACCAAACCAAGTTAGTTACTAAAGAATGAGATTGCACAATGACCTTCCACTCAGTGGCTTCATCTGATTTGAGAAGTAAGCTGGTGGCAACAGGCTTTGAGGTTGATCAAAGGATCTAAGAACGCCCTCCGCCAATCTCACTGCTAAATGGAGTGGCTTTTGCCAGTTCAGAGCCCAGTCACACGAGCTGTTCCAGGCCAGAGAGGTTTGGGCCTCACCAGGATCACTAAGTACGTTCTGGGTCCTAGGGACAATGAGTAACTCTGGAGGTTCCATTCATTCCCACTCAAAGGGCCAAGTATTATCTTACTCAAGAGAGAAAGCCAAACCCTGCTGACCAGACGGTGCCATGCCCCTATCCTGGACCAAGGAGACTTTCCCAGCCTTAGAACACCTGCAGGGGCTTCAGCAAAGACCCAGGCACCCTGAAAAAAGGTGCTTAGGAAAAGGGGGAGCAGAGTGGGACGAAACCAGAAAGTGAAACTCACCTTGACCTCACACAGGCTGCTGCTGGCATGCTGCCTAATCTGCGTTCACTTCCCCATCTGTGTCAAGGTGTCCAGGCTGAGAATCTGCCCCGGGAACCCACTTCCCAAACATCACTGCAGAAAGTGTCTGATTTGCACTCAGAGCAACTAGACTGGAATCTTTTCTCTGCTACATACCAGCTATGTGGCCCCGGACAAGTCACTCTGCTTCTCTGAATTTCTGTTTTCTCATATAGAACGTAAAGAAAAATTTTTTAAATGTATCTATTACCTTCAAGACTCTATGAAGGACACAGATATGAATAAGCTCCTTCACTAAAAAAGCGTATAATCTTAAAGACCTTTTCTTGCACAAAGATTTGCTTCCAACTGCTAAAATAAAACTGTTGAGTGTGGATATGATAAAGATTACAGTAGAACAGTGTATGTCTGCCTCTCCTCCCCACAAATGATGCATGTGAAAGTCCCTGGCATGTGGAACTCACTCCCTAAGTGGAGTTCTCTTCTCCTTCCTGGTCCTACCTTCCAAACTAGGGTCTTGTGGAATTCCAACAAAACCTCCTTACAATGGTCCGACTGAACGTGAGGCCCTCCTCTGGTCTGAGCCAGCAGAGTCCGATGTGTGTGTGAGTCACACGCGTGCTCTTGCTGAGTCATTTGTGTCTCATTACACGATTTGCATACTGGTGGAACAGGTCTGCCCTGTCCTCTCACTTCATTTCCATTGCTCTTGGGACAGCCCTGCTAAGAGTGAAAAGGAGGCTTTTGTCCTTCCTTATGTCCCTGCCTACCCTCTTCCTGACACCCACAGCCAGAAACTTTCTCCCTCCTCTAATCTCCTCCACGGCTCCCACTGGGCTCTGGTCCATGTGCCCGGTGGCTCGGTGGCTCACAGACATGGTGCAGACCCAGAACCTCTCTCTGGAAAGTCGTTTAGCAACTTTCAGGACAAAAAGAATTTTGGATTGACTTTTCTCCTCCTTTGGAAGAAAATCGAATCTTGTCTTCTGTCACTATGAGGAAGGAAAGAAAACTGCCCCTGTTCTAGACACTATGTTGGGTGCTTTAGATGACATTACCTGCCACTGTCACAATAATCCTGTGAGGTGGACACCATCGTG